GGGTATGCGGGATGTACAAAGCCATGGCCTGCCATTACTATTTGATGAACGATAACTGTGCCAAGCATTAGCTCACTTACTCCCCTCAAGCAACTGTTAAGATATTGGTATTTCCTTTTCAGTGAGGAGAAAACCGAGGCTCAAGAAGGTAAAGGTCACACAGGTAGTGACCCAGGCAGCACCTGGGCATCTCTCCGGGGTTGCATGAAGGTATGCATCCACCCCAGTTATCAAACAGGCCTAGCACGAGCTGGGGGAGGGAGAAGCCCTGCTGTTTGCTCCTGCAAAGGTACAGGGCCTGGTGGGAAGCTCAGAGCAGACGGTATTGGGAGATGACCAGAAGGCTCTGCCCTTTGATGTCTCCCGCTAGCCAGGAATCCAAGCCTCTCTCACTCCCAGGGTCCCCCTAGAGAAGCCCCTGGCCTTTGGAGGAGCATGGAGGGGAGCATGGCAGGAGTGTGAGAAGAACAGCAGCTTATATTTGTACAACTTTATTGTTCAGTCTTGAAGCCCAGCAAGAAGCCCTGGAGGTGGGTAGGTAATAATAATAACAGCAACATCAAGGACAGGAACTTACTTTTATTACAGCTCATTCATTATATACTGGACACTAAGCATGTTGCTTGGCTTATCTTGTTGAACAACCTCAAGGGCCGAGATATTATTATTTATCTCGAGTTCACAGAAGAGATAACAGGCTTAGAGAGGTTAGGTAACTTGCCTAAGGTCAACCAGGCCTGACTTTGGGGGTGGGGGTCAGTTTTATACTAAGGTATAACCTACATACAGTAAAACTCACCCTTTGTTGTGTACAACTCTATGAGTTTTTAAAACACAGATGTGTAACTGCCGCCACAATCAGAAGTAGAAGGGTTCTCTCACTCTGTAAAACAGGCCGGCCTCCTGCCCTCCACGGCCTCGCAGGCAGCATTGGCCGATCTTACAGATGACAAAATGGAGGTTGGGAGAGGTTGTGGTGTTGCCCAAGATCGCTCAGTCAGTAAGTGACAGATCTGAGACTCGAACCTTCATCATGTGTCTGCTAGTTCAGCTGCCTGCAGAGTGTAGATTCCGAAATCTACAGAGCACAACCCTCATGGGGTGGGGATGTGGAGATTGGGAGCCCATTGCTCTAAGATGGAGCCTCAGAAATCCCCCCACTTCCCACTGCTCACACCGGTACTTAACCCAGCACCCACCCTTCCAGAGCAGCTAGGGAACAAAGAGGGGCCGCATTCTGAAAGGCTAAAGAAGCCACAAGTAAAGAGAATGGCAGCCGCTGGGTCCAAGGAGCAGAGTCTAGAGGCAGCTCAGGGTCCGAGTCCAGACTAGGTTGCCCAGCGCCTTGGTGCGCCTCTGCCCTCCAGCCTGGTTAATGAGTTACTCTCCTAGTTAATTCCCCTGCACGTCGGAGCCTGGCAGAGCGAACCTTTCCAAGCTCCTTGGTCCCGGCGCATGAATTAGCATAGATTACTCCGCTTCCGGGGCTTCCGCGTGCGGCCCCTGACTCGCTAGAAACCCGCTTCTTCCTCGTGGGGGCCCGGGAGAGGCTTGGGGCCAGCGGCGAACAGGCGTGTCCTACTGCCGCCAAGAAGGCAGCCACCAGACTCTCTCAGCCTCGCCCACCTGCCAATAACTAGAGCCCTTTGGGGGTAAAGCTGGCCCCCTTATGGCAGTTTGCAAGAGGCGGGTGGCCTGCTTCTTGTACACTGGGAGCAGCCTGGGCCCTCTGCCCCAGCCGACTGTCCCTGCCTCGGGAGGGAGGCTGAGGGTCTGGGCTCCGGACTGCTCACTTCATCAGGACACTCTCCAGACACATCTTGGTCAAAACAGGAGAAAGTGTTGAAGGTGGTACCAATAACACTTTAGTGCTCAGCCTGAGAGTTTAGAGAGGAAACTATCACACACCACGGCGGGCCTCATCCCACCTCCCAGACACTGAATGGAGCCCCTTTGCCTTCGAAGTCATCTACTCTCATACCCCCCAGCCAAGATCACTAATACTGACTGTGCAATAAATGGCCATTCCCTGCCCTGCAGCCAGGGTGGGACTTTTAGTGCCCTCAGTTTCCCACTTGTAGTCTAAGGCTGAGTTTGGAAGGCCTGGCCTGCGGGCGAGCCTAAACCTCCAGCCCTCCTGGAGATCCTTCCATGGAGAAAGGGGTCCTCCTCCACTGGCTCCAGGATCGGGGATCTACAACCCACCTAAATTGGGTATTTCTTTCTGGGAACCAAAGGCTGACCTCTACCTCCACCCCAGACTGGCTGGCTAGCGCAGCCCAAAGACTTCCACTTTTCCTGGTGGCTTCAGGCTCCCTGTTGGCCTGGGCACAGTGCGGCTTGTGTCCCTACAGCCTATCTGAGGGAAGGATTTCTGAATTGGGGACAATATTATTGGAGGTCCATGGTTCAGGACCCAGGGAGATACTATTTAAAATGCAACCCACGCCAAGAGGCTGGATCGAGCACCCTGTATCCTTGGGCCTGGGGAAAAGGATGGGGGGATGCCACAAAGCAAGGTCGAGAGAACCCGCTAAGGGTGAAAACCCAGCCAAGACTCCTGCCCAGAGCCGGCGTCAGAGAGCAGAAGCCTGAGGTAGGGGCAGGCTTCTTGGGGCGTGAGTATAGAGCTGAGGGCCATGCCTGTCTCGTGTGTGCAAGTGTGTATGTGTGTGTGCCCTGGGAAGCTTGGGGGAGGCAGCACGCGTGATCTCTGCTGGGTCCGCACTAAGATCAGGTGCCCAGACAACGCCAGAAACACACTCCTGACTCCTCTCTTGCCTGGAGTGTTTTCCGAAAGGGGTTTTAGATCCTCCTCCCATCCAACCCCCCCTCACACCCCCAACACAGACTATGCCTGGAATAAAGAAGAAATTGACACAAACATCAATACACAGCAGATGAAACCACAGAGGACGGGGGAGACCCTAGGGCAGGGAGAGGGTAGCTGGGAAAGCAGGGGGACATGTCCCCAGACCTGGGGACCTTTGACTGATGGATCTGGTGGCATTGAAGCCTGACTTACAGTATTTCCCTCTTCTCCCCCTCCCAATCGACATTTTTTTGGGTCTCACGGCAACCTCATCACCAAACACAGGCATTTCTTCATCCTTAAGCGAAGTGACATGGGCCTCCAAGTAAGAGATTTAAAGGATGCCAGATTTTTTTAAAAAAAATCATTAATTGTAAACGTGCAAAATACCTGCTGGTACTTCACTTTAGAAGAATGTAATTGGCAAAAAGAAAAAAAAAAAAGAGGAAAAAAGAGGCGGCTGATGAATAGATAATAGATCTTTAACCACCAATAAACAGAGAGCAGCGCCAGCAGCCTGGGGGATGTGATCATAATTATGCCGCAGCGTGAGCCAATGGGGACGAGGGAACTCGGCCCTAAAAATCATCCTAAAACCGAAGGCAAGCTCGAAAATGCGGACACGGCCTGGGACTGGAGAAGCGATCCTCACTCCCTAATTGCAAGCCCTGGGTTTGCACAGCAACCCGCCCCTAGGACGACAGATGGCAGAATAATAATAGAAATACTGATGATGATGATGATGATGATGATGATGATAATAATAGCAATAATAAGAATGATAACAACACTAACAAAATTAATAACGACAACGTAACGGTGATAGTAGTATCACATCAGCCTCTCCCTTGACCTTGGACCCCCATTCCCAGATATTGGGACCCTCAGTTCCCAAAAGAGTTGTTTGGGGGAAGGAGATGAGCACCCTCCCAGAGAGGAAAATCGAGAGCCAGTGGGCAAGTTGGAAGCCCGCCGCCAGGGCAGGGTCGTCCACTCCGGTCTCAGCTTGGAAACGAACGGGCCGAGTCAAGGATCGTGAACTCAGGGACCCTGGGACCTAGAGGCTACGAGTGGTCGGAGGACCCCCATCCCTGGCCAGACTCCCGCCTCACCTGGGAAACCTCCGGGAGCTTCGCTGGGGGTGGGAATTGGTCTAACCCAAAGGCTCCGTTAGCCCTCGCCGGGAACCAACCCCTGCTCGCTTACCCTCGAGTGCTCCCGGGGCGATTCCAGCTCCCCCGACCCGCGCCCGCGGGGGGCAGCAGCGGCATAACGCTAGGCGCGAGGAATATGTGCATCAGTGTGTCCGTCTGTCCCCCCGGCTCGGGCTCAGCAGGCTCGGGATCCAGGGGGCCGCAGCGAAGGCGGCGCCGCTCGGGGACTCTGCAGGGACCGGGGTGCCCCGGAGGGAATGGTGGTGGTGGAGAAGTAGGCGGTGGCTGAGGGGGAGGAGGTGGGGAAAGAGGAGGAGGAAGAAAAGAGGAGGAGGAGAAGCCAAAGGAAGAGGAGGAGGCGAAAGAGAAGGAGCCGCCGCGGGCGCCGCGGGAGCAAGTGAGCTAGGAGCGCGCGGCGACGGCGCCGAAAGGCCGGGCGGCCTGGCGGGCGCAGGAGGCACGGCCGAGGCAGCGGCGCCGACTCCGTTCCACTCTCGGCCCGGATCCAGGCCTCCGGGTTCCCAGGCGCTCGTCTCCTTCTGACGCACTTTAAAGAGTCTCCCCCCTTCCACCTCAGGGCGAGTAATAGCGACCAATCATCAAGCCATTTACCAGGCTTCGGAGGAAGCTGTTTATGTGATCCCCGCACTAATTAGGCTCATGAACTAACAAATCGTTTGCACAACTTGTGAAGAGGCGAACACTTCCATGGATTGTCCTTGGACTTAGGGCGCCCAAAAAAAAAAAAAAAAGAAAAGAAAAAAAAAAGAAAAAAAAGAAAAAAATTACCCCAATCCACGCCTGCAAATTCTTCTGGAAGGATTTTCCCCCCTCTCTCCAGGTTGGGCGCGTTTGGTGCAAGATTCTCGGGATCCTCGGTGTTGCCTCTCCCTCCCCCGCCCCCCTTCTTTCCTTCTTCCTTTCCTTTCCTTTCCTTTCTTTCTCCCTTTCCTCCCCCACCCCCACCCCCATCCC